CTTAAAGGTGCCACTAGACTCAAAACATGAACATACTCAGCTTTGGGTCAAGCAGGTGGTTAAAAGGGGCAATGCCAGAGAGACAAGCCATATGGTCCCCTCCCCTCTCTCCACTTTGACCAGGATAACCAAGGAAAGCCCGTCTTTTGGTCAGTATTTTTTCCCCTATTGGATAGCAGGAAACATTAACAAACAGATGGAGAAGGATACAGCCATGGCAAAATAATGGAAGAATGTACAAGCCCCAAGTATTTGAAATCCATATCTAAACATTGAGTCATTAGGCAAAATAAACAGGCTACAATACACAGAAAACACACAAATCCCATTCCCCACACATGTCTGAAGTGTATTTTTAAATGACTTTTTAACACAAAGAGGACAGGTGAGGGATGGGGAAAACAGTGTGATAACATACAGTGTCTGTGATCCAATCTTTAGTGTTCAAAAACCAATCTAACCTTTTTCAAAGTTTGACAGAGTTGTTTGAAATTTGCAATCAAATTGCAATCCACACAGAAGGTAGATCAAGCACCCAGGTTTGCTTTAATTGGGGGCTAATAAAAGTCTGTAAATTAAACATAAAATATCAAGGAAGGAAGGTTAAAAATCAGTACAGATGAATTTATCTTCTATTGAAAGGATTCACAACATATGAAGGAGTCAGGGAAGTTTTCTCTCTTTCATGCTGCTTTGGGGCTAGTTATAATCCCAAAATATATAGAAGAGTGAAGTTACTGGCATAAAGGGTTTGGTAAATGAGAATTCTTAGAGTCCATTTAATTCAATAAAAAGATGAGCAAGTTTAGAAAACTGACAATTTTGATGAATGAGAGACATGTATAGGTATTTGCACAACCAGATTGTATATATAATTTATTCACATTATTTTTAATCAAAAGAATTATATTTATTTTGTATATATATGGTCTCATGAAAATCCAAAATGAGAAATACATTTTAAATCTATATGCCTATAAGTGGTAAGCATAATTAGGCATCTGTTTGTTTAAAAAAGGTTATTGTATATTACATGCACAATCATCTTGTTAGAATCATAGGCTGCTCACAGTTTGCAAATATACTCATAGCAATGAGATTATGTTATGTTCTAGCCCTCTCCCCCTAATATCTAGTTGAAAACACAGAGTTGTTTGAAGTATCCAAAACTGGCATGAAACATATCTTGCGGTTCTTATCGTCACAGAATTTAATACCAACAACTCGTGTTGTGTAAAAAATTGGTAGAAAGCATGTATCCCATTGACTTAAAGTACACATTCACTCTTAGGAAGAACATTCCAAATCTATAATCCCATATAGTCAATCTACAAATCCTTTAAAAATAAGGATTTGGATCAAAATGTTAACACAATCTCATTGCAATATTACACCAGCCCAATTTTTCAAATGCTGGTTAAAATGCTATATATTTTCAAATACAGATAAAAGGAAGTCCTATGCTAGAATTCAGGATAGTATTTTCAGGCCCTTATATTTCACTTTTACTAAATTTCCTCAAAAAAAGATATTCTGTCAAACTGACAACTTGCCTACTGTATTAAAAGTATCTTATAAAGATAGCTTCTCTTTAACAGGTCACCATCAAATAGTAACATCAAAAATATGAAGTCTAAATACTGAAAATTGTATACATGCGATATTGTTTAATTACATAGTACCTAATTGTGTGCACCATAGATAATTGTGTCTCAAATACTGTAACAAACCTGAATTCACACCATATAAATATATACAGACAGAGAACTATATATGCCGAGTACCATAGTTAATATGACTTCAGCTGTGGTGCTATAGACATATAATACCACAGTTAATTCAACTCGCTAGGAAAGAAAAGTATCTTCAATTTATTTTGTTATGAGAATTTCACAGTAGGAGGAGGCAATTCTTTGCTGATTTCCCCCCCTACCTCCTCCTTCAGGGGGGAAAAACATTTGTTTTGTAAACATCTTTGAAGATATTATTATACCAATATATCTTTAAAATTTATTCATAATGGTAAATAACTAACCAACATGAATAAAGTATGTCATAACACAATAACACTTTTCCGACAAAACAGGTATTTATTAAAAGAATGTTTTTATAAATAAGTTGTCTTGCATTTTAAACTACAATTTCATAAACAACAATATTTTAAAAGTGCTGAGTATGGTAGGATAGTCAGCAACGCCAGTGTAAACAGATCTTTTTATGCTTTCTGCTTTGCAGAATTGTCTCTTTTTTTCTGTTTTAACCCCCATTTTGTCAAACACTACAACAGTGAAAAGAGTTGCATAGGGAATAAAGAATAGCCCTTTTAAGTCATATCTCCTGAATTCTATATAAATTACAAAATCAAATAAGCATAAGAAACAGTTTGCTAAATTGTCCATGTCTCCCTCCCTTCCCAAGTTAAAAGCATACAGAGTTCAAGTAAATAATAAGTAAAATTTCCCCATGTCTGCCCTTTGACACCTGTTTAATAAATTAAATATGAAGAGGTAGTAAAAAAAGAAACAGCCCTCCCCTAACAAATAAATGACCTAATTGTCAGAAAAGAAGTATTTAAAATGGGGGCATACAGACCTCTGGACAGCATAACACCAAATATCTTGATATTATGTGGGCACTGAAAGGATGACCACTAGGACAGACATACAGACATGGGAAGATCCAGTTCCGTGAGTTATTCCATACTAAGAAATAACTATGCTTAACATACTTTTGGCCACTGCAGTAGAGCTTTAAAGGGCCACCAACTGAGAGCTTTTCTACTACACATTTCACTTAAATGTATGGGGCTTCCACATTAGCATGCTTAGTGGATTGCATCCATACAGTGGTGAGCTAAGGGTCAGCCCTTAGGAATAACTTGCAGACAAGGGGCTGATGTCTGAGAAGTCACATCTGCTCAGCACCACAGCAATTTTATTTTTAAAAGAATTGAGCTCACATCAACAAACTGATGTAAGGGAGAAACACTGGGCCTATCAGATCTCTCTGAGCAGAAGGCCCACCATTCTTAATAGTAATAAAGGCTTCAATGTTTATCTGTTCAATGGCCTATTTTTTAAAAAAGTAGCTCCAACGGAATACCATCACTTAGTACCATTTTGGATATATATGTGAAAAGAGAGTTTTTGTAAATTATGCATTTTCTTCTTAGGCCAAAACACAGATGGAAATCTAAAAAGTTTTAAAAGAATATTAAGCAGCTACTTGCTTAAAACTAAATTAGCAGCAAAGGATATCATCTTCAAGGAATCTCTTCATCGGTATTATACTTGGGCCAAAACATTTCAAGGTGAACATTAACTAAACCTTCACAACTATTTTTTTAAACCTTATAAGGGATCCCTCAAAATGTGGAAGCCAGAAGACTGATTAGTCTACTTTAGCCATCCTTTAAATAACAATTTGTTTTAGTTTGTGGAAAAAACACAAACCTTTCCTTTCACACAATAGCACTTTTAAGGGAAAAAATTATCTTACAGACAGATGCTAGTCCTCAACATGGACTGAAATGCTACATGTAGGCATTTTTTAAAAAATTAAACTTTAAAAAATAAACATTAAACTATCAACCTTGGTTATGTGTATGTATGGATATTTTTTTTGCTGAATTACATAACATTACACAACAGTATTAGATAACTGGACATCCAGTCTTTAATAAATCAGTTACAGAATCTGACATCTGAAATGTACATTGATTCTCTGTTCTTAAAACAATAAAAACAATGTCAGCGTATAGACTATGTCATCCCAACCTGGATCCCATTGTATGGTTTGTGCTTTTTTGTTGGGTTTTTGACATTTCAAACTCTGTAACGAAAATGCCATCATTTTGGCAGTCAACAGCCAGAGGAATCCCCTGTTTTGTATTTTAAATAAATGGTGATAAATAAGTCTCTTTCTCTCTTATACAGAAAGTTTGTCGGTTTGACGTAACAATGAATTTAATTCCACAGAGCATTTGGAATAATATTGCTACACCTAAGGACTAGCTTTCTTCAGTGTCAGCATATCTTTAAATATGCAAGTTACTTCCTTGCTCGCTCCAACGATTTCTGTGTACTGTATATTGCACAAAATGTTATTTAATATAGATATAATTTATGTTGTTGGATTAAATATTGCAACAACTAAGTGGCAAGTGAAACATTCTTGCTTTGCACATGCAGTGTGAGGATACACAAGGAAACTCTTTATAAAACAAGTATGTCATTGCAATCTGGACTGCAGTTGTGAAAGGTGCGCGAAAGAAACATGATTTGGCAAATCCATTCCCCCCCCTTCCAAACTCAAGCATGAAAGACCTTGGTCAAACATAGACAAAGACCATTATGAGTATTTGTTTTCTTCACAGTAGCCTGAGTAGTGCTAAACTGTAGTTCTCCAGGAACTCAGTTCCAGATGTTATTAAACTACTAAGGTGAAGACAGGTGTAATATAAAAAGAGGGCACACAGCACATCTTTCAGCTATGGGGTGAGCCTCACTTCCTCTTGACCTAACCACTGAACTGACAGGCATGTATGCCAGTAAATCAAACACTGGCACAGCTGTCAGTCTTGCCCCTTCCCCCATGCTGCAGGTGGGCAGTCCACATCCACTATTTAATTTTTTTTTTACAAATGAGGCATTAACGTTCATGCATTTTATCTGTTCCTTTGTCACCTACTTAATTTTAAAAGAAACCTTTTTTAAAGTGCAAAACCTGCTCCAGTGTATTGGGGGGGGGGTTCTTGGTGACATCATCATGGGGGGGGCAGCAAGTCAGCACCATGTGTGCAGCCTTCTTCTGCTTCAGAGGTGCAGAACCAGTTTTTACAGAGCTTGTCCCTGGAGAGGAAAGGTCTGTTTGGACTGAACAGAGTGAGGGCACTTCCAGAGCGGCCCCACCCGCTCTTAAAATCTTATGTCTGTCTTCATCCTAATAGTCCTCCCCCCAAAAGAAAGCTAAATCAAGATTTTGATGCCCAAAAATGAGATCTAAGTTTCAGAAGTAGAGCCCATAGTACTTTCAACAAGAGACTTATAAATCTGAGAGTTCAAAAACCTTGGGATGTCTCTGTGCATTAATGTGTAGATCTGAAGCTGGGCATCTTCATACATATGAGGATTAGGATCCAACAAATTCCTGTTGATCACTTCTCGCACCCGTGAGTCCAAACTAACCTAAAGAGAACAGAAAAAGATGTTCCGGTTACCTGAGGAATCACATGACTTTATGTTTGGAACTTAATTCACACGTGGGGTGTAGGCCCAATCAAACTTACTAGTTTGTGTAGCTTGCCTATAAAGAGGATACCCTTGAGCAGGGTTGGCAACCCCGATGGGGATGGGTTTCCCCCCGCTTTCCTGCCCCCCATCTGCCACTGGCCAGCTGGCCAGCGGGGGGAGTCCCACCCCAAACAGCCCCATTGCCCCTGATGTGCCTGGCATGATGACGTCACCCGGAGACCCAGGTAAGACCTGGCAACAGATAGGAAGCCAGCTATGTTTCAGATCAGTTCAGGTCAAAATTAACAGGCTTGACTGTACGTATGGTTTGCCTGAATTTTTGTGGCATTTGTCTTTGTGGAAGCACAAACATGTAGCGGTTTCAGAAATATTATGATAAGAGCTTGCTGGAACAGCTGGTGGGGCCTGGGGATCTCCCGCTTTTACCACTGATCTCCAGCTGACAGAGATCAGCTCCCCTGGAGAAAATGGCTGCTTTGAAGGGGAGAATCTATGGCACTGTACCAGGCTGAGGCCCCTCCCCTCCCCAAACCCCGCCCTCTCCTGGCTCCACCCCCAAAGTCTCCAGGTATTTTCCAAACCAGATTTGGCAACCCTAGCCTGGCATGATGACGTCACCGGAGACCCAGGTAAGATCTGGCAACAGATAGGAAGCCAGCTATGTTTCAGATCAGTTCAGGTCAAAATTAACAGGCTTGACTGTACGTATGGTTTGCCTGAATTTTTGTGGCATTTGTCTTTGTGGAAGCACAAACATGTAGCGGTTTCAGAAATATTATGATAAGAGCTTGCTGGAACAGTTTAAAATTGTACTAGAACTTTAGAGATTAATAAATTTCTTCTCTGAACATATTCAAACATTTGCTGTAGCAAAGCTGTAATGGTACATATTGCTTCTTCCTCTTTCTAGGGTTGCCAATCTCCAGGTAAGGCCTGGAGATCTCCTAGAATTACGACTGATCTCCAGACTAGAGTTCAGTTCCCTTGGAGGAAATGACTGTTTTGGAGGGCTCTGTGGCATTATACCTCACTGGCATTATATCTCCACTCCTTAAATTCTGCACTCACCAGACTTCACTCCCAAATCTCTCAGGGCCTTTCATTGTACCCCAAGTAAATTGTATTATTTGTAAATTGTATTATATTCCATAGATAAGAACATAAGAACATAAGAGACGCCAATGTTGGATCAGGCCAAAGGCCCATCTAGTCCAACACTCTGTCACACAGTGGCCAAAAATACCAGGTGCCATCAGGAGATCCACCAGTGGGGCCAGGACATTAGAAGCCCTCATGGCTTCTAATTAGATGGCTTTTAATTTGCAAAAGCACAGAATTGTGGGTGCATGTTAAAAAAGGAGATAGCTTTGTTGTCAATGGCTAGCTTTGCTGAGCAGATAGTTGCTATTTTCTCTTTTGAGAAAGGAAATAAAATATCTTTTAAAAAAATGCAGGAGCTGTAATGAGGGAGTTCACAAACTCCAAAGAACTACAAAACAAATATGCAAACAAGCCAAATTTTAAAAATATTGGACTAAAATAAACAACCCTCTTCCCTTCCAAGAACAACAGTACAGAAAAGAGAAGATGAGCCTGGCCTTGACCATCAGCTAAAGAATTCACAGCCATGGGGAACTTGTTTTCCACTTCCTTGCCAGGAAAAACACAACCCTCTGCTCTCGTTGTCAGTGGCTCTAAGGCTGTAGGTCTGAGGGAAAGGACACCATATTGGAGATCATTGGAGCTAGAGGGAGGGTATGTACCTTTAAAATCACTTTAAAATGAATAAATTTGAAATAAAATCAAAAGATGCTATGGGAGGAAACACTGTGTCACATCACACTTTCTATCACAGATCCCAGTAGGTCCATGACCACTGTACAAACCACCACCCCAAAAGCAAATTTACAGTCAAATCAGTGTGTGAGGAAAGATAGCATTTCCCACAATACAAAACAATGACCCTTTTCACATTACCATTCTAAACTGGATGTTATTCTTTGGTGGCCCAATTTCAAGTAAAGCCATAGAGGGTCAGGGATTTTATACAGTGAATTTCCTTCCATCTCTGAAGTGCTATGGTCATTTCAAACAGTGCCACTTCCCCCCTACCTTCTAAGTTAGGCACTATAGCATTTTAGCTATGACACTGAAGTACTATATTGGTTTAGTGCTATAGTGATCAACTTAGAATGTTCAAAAAAAGTCCAAGGAGGATCATGCGGTGAAAAAGGGCAGGGGGAATAAAGCAGCATTGGAAGAAGCACTATGGACATTTTAAACAGCATACCACAGTGATTCAGAAGTGCAACAAATGAGTAGAAAACAGAAGAAAGCAGTTTCCCTCAAAAGCAGCTCAGCCACGCTTTGCTAAGCCAACACCAGTGGGTTTATATGAACAGGTAAATAAATCCCACCCGCAGCTGGTTACTAAAACGGGTCTGTCTGAAATGACAGAAAAAATCCATCAGCAACCAGTTACTAAAACAGAATACAAAGGCAGTTTGAAAAGGGCCATTAATATTTAGTTGCTTCAACTTCCCATTTATTCATTGTTGTTATTCAGTCGCACAGTCAAGTCCGACTCTTCACCACCCCATGGACCACATCACACCAGGCCCTCCTGTCTTCCATCATGCTCCGGAGTTTGCTTAATTTCATGTTTATTGCCTCGATAACACTGTCTAACCATCTCATCCTTTGCCTTCCCTATCTTCTTTGACCTTCAATCTTTCCCAGCATCAGGGTCTTCTCCAGTGAGTGCTCCCTTCTCATTTGATGGCCAAAGTATTTGAGCTTCAGCTTCATTATCTGGCCTTCCAGGGAACAGTCAGGGTTGGTATCTTTTAGGATTGACTGATTTGATCTCCATGCAGTCCAGGAGACTCTCAAGAGTCTTCTCCAGCACCATAGTTCAAAAGAATCTATTCTTCGGCGCTCGGCCTTCCTTATAGTCCAACTCTTGCAGCCATACAGTACTACCGGGAATACCATTGCTTTGACCATACGGACTTTTGTTGGCAGGGTGATGTCTCTACTTTTTAATATGCTGTCTAGGTTTGCCATTGCTTTCCTCCCAAGGAGCAGGCGTCTTTTAATTTCATGGCTGCAGTCACCGTCTGCAGTGACATCTGCATTTATTCATACACTGAAATAAATCCCTTGGGCTAACTTGAATGATTTTGAGGTTCTGAGGCTAACCTATCTGTAAGCTAAGTAGGAAAGCCAGTGTAGTCTAATGGAGAGCAAGCTGATCTTTTATACGCACACATACATACATTACTTAAACTAGTCCCAATTGGCTCACGAAGTAGTTTACCAGAGTAATTCACTTGGGGGGGGATTCTAAAACCTTTTATTTTGTTATGGGAGATCTGAATGTAAATACCTTTCTCTGCCTTGTGCCCACTGGATTGTCTTGGGCAAGTAGGGTTGCCAACCTCCAGGTAGTTTCTGGGGATCTCCAGGTGACAGTGACCAGTTCACCTGGCTGCTCTGGAAAGAGGACTCTGTAGCATTATACCCCATTGGTCCTACCCTTCCCCAAACCTTGCTGTCCTCGGGCTCCACCCCCCAAATCCACCCCAGGTATTTCCCAACCCAGAGCTGGCAACCCTATGAGCAAGTCAGTCTTCCAGCCTTAGCTGCATGAGGATAAATTTAGGATGAAACGCAACCCTATGAGCAAGTCAGTCTTCCAGCATGAGGATAAATTTAGGATGAAATGCAATCCCCCTCATTTAACTGCAAGGTTCCACAGGGTCCATACAACCATTTGGTAAGCTGGTCATTTTTGTATTGTCCTGTTAAGTGAAAAGGAACATTTTTTACTACTCTTTTCCTTACCTCAACGTCTGATGAGAGACAAAGAAATGTGGTAAAACCATCTGCTTGGTGCAGTAGGATGCTATTGACTACATTATCAGATGGTTACATGCTCAACACAGGAAGTTACTACTTGGCAAATGGTCATCTGTATTCACCCATAATAAAATTTTATTCAGATTAACAACACTATTTGAATTGTAATTAACAGTACTACATTCAGAAATACCATATGATAGTTTACAGCATTGTTTCTTTTTCTGCTCCATGAAAGAGATTTCCACCGTTTCAAAAGGAAACCATGCACTGCCTCAAGCCTTTTCATGTTCTTGATTATCCAAGATAACATGAGCACTGCCTTTTCATTTGACTACACATCTGCTCCCACACATCCGTGGTTAGAGAGCATCCCAGTAAACAAGTTCTTGGGAATGGCACCTTTTATAGCAATTCTGAAGGAATGCATGTTTAATTTCTGATCTGATTATTGAAACCAGCCACAGGTCTTCATGGCTATAATGTTAATTGGCATTTGAAGTATTACCTCTTTTGGTGAAAGTATTGAAATATAGTCTTCATATATAATCCTTGCTTTTTCTTCAATCACGTCTTTGTTCTGTTCCGTCTTCAGGTCTTCACATGCAAGCCAGAACAGCAGGTTCTCCTCGCTGTACTCTGTTCGGAGAAATTCTCTGAAAATATTCCTACCAGAAGGCGTTTTCATCATCTTGTCAAAATTTTGAGCCCAAGACAAAATTTCATCTGCAGTAGGGTTTTGGCTGCAAAAAAAGAATGAAAAAATGTAATGCACGAAGCCCTTATTGTCTTCATAGAAATAGTACCTCACAAGTTTAATCGAAACCAAGGTGGGATGCCTAACTGCATGTTGGACTAGTATCGGGAGACCCAGGTTCAAATCTCTGCTCCACAATAGAAGAAGAAGAGATTGGATTTATACTCGGAGTCTCAGAGCAACTTACAAACTCCTTCCTCTTCCCCTCCCCACAACAGACACCCTGTGAGGTAGATGGGGCTGAGAGAGCTCTGATACAGAAATGGCTCTTTTCAAGAACACCTCTGACAGAACTATGGCTTGCCCAAGGTCATCCAGCAGCCATAAGTGGAGGAGTGGGGAATCAAACCCAGTTCTCCCAGATTAGAGTCTGTGCACTTAACCACTACGCCAAACTGGCTTGCTGGGTGGCCTTCTTCTTTCTCCTGGTAAGTCCCCCCACAGCTGATGATGTCACATCCTATGCGATGCCAGAAATATAGCCTGGGCCTTCCTCTTTCTCCTAGTAAGCCCCACCCCCACCCCGGTTGCCAGAGACCTAGCAACCCTACTAATGTCAGTTTTCTTAACAGAGCAAATAGTGGCTCTCTGGGGTGTTTCAGGTTGGGAAAAGAGCATGGGGAAAATGTCTAAGCCTTTTCTCTCCACATACTACAGTCGTGATCCCATTTGGGCTCCCTTGTTCCTGGAGAGCCTGGAGTACCCAGAAAATATCTGCGATCAGTCCAGGGATGTACCCAGGAAAAGCTTCTGTATAGTTAGGCCATTAATATGAAGCCCTTTTGTATAATTTCCAAGCTGTTGTTAGAATCCTGGGAATGTGATACTTCCTTTTCTGCAAATCTTTCTCTAATAGATGAAATAACGGGTTTTTTTTTAAAATGTTAAATAATGGCAGAAATTACCAAGGTTTTAGATATCAGCAGGTATTCTGTCAAATGTTACCACTTCCAAGCCAATTTGGCATTCAGTAAAAGACTAACTCAATGCTAGGAGAGAATTCATACAGACACATTTCCTGCTATGAAATGACTACTTTTGGTCATTTAGTAGAGAGACATCAGCTGTGAGGCAAATACGTTCCACGGGGCCATTTCAGGGTGGGGAGAAAAGCATGAGGAGGAATGCTGAAGCCCCATTTCTTCTGTGCCACAGTCATAATCCAAACTGGGGCCCCAGGCACTGGAAAAACTATTTACCCCACTCCCGACATTTGACAGACAGTGAAAGTCAGGTAAGGGGAACTCCAGCTGTATAAACCATAACATGTAGTTCAGACCTAATACGGTATGTAGCCTAACTGATGGGTTTAGATATATGAGATTTGGAATGGATTCTTATTCAAGTCTGATACAGATGAACCCTTAGGTGTGTCAAACTACACTTTGCTTGCTTCGGTTGCCATTGTTGCTGAGGGGGAGGGAATTCCTTAGGGGAGGGGGGTGGTGTGAGTGAGTGAGAGAATGAGACCTTGGGTGATTTCCCACAAGCCCTGCTCCCAGCTCACTCCTCTTTTGTTCTGATGGCACGTGTGTTACCATGTGTGCTTTTAAATGTATTATTTATGCTAAGCTGCTGCTATATTGTCTGTAAAATGTCTTTGCATCTGTGTATATGGGATCTGGGAATTGCTGTGTCTTGGATTTGCTTGCTATGCCTTCCTGTTTGTACCTGGAAGTTGCTATTGTGCAGGGCTTGTGCTGCCTATGCTAATGGACACGTGCATACCCACACCTTCCCAGCATGCCTTGGAACAAAGAAGACCGCCATTTAGCTCAGCCTTTGGAGACGAGGAAAACAACAGGTCTCCCACCATTACAGATCTCCTGGAATAACACGTAACCCCACATATCTGGTTTGGCATCACAAAAGGACAACATCCTGTTATTGCCTTCCTGGACCAGGCAACATCTGCAAGTCAAAGGTTGCTATGGGAATACAACTTTGACACCTTGCCACATGGCTCCCCATTGAAGTTAGGCTTAGAATTTGAATATCGCCCCACTCCCCTCTAGGTA